GGCTGTTAATATTGTAACTCATGATGTCTCAAGACCAGCAATAATTGAGTCATATAAAGTATCTAAAAACATCAACGTACATTTAAGTAGAGTGATAAACCTTTTGTTAGTAACTGATGAATCTGGAGAAGGTCATTACTGTTTGATTAAAAATATTGATAGATTGATGAACACCCAAAATAGTAGAAGCAATAAATTTTGTATTAGATGTCATAATAACTTTTACAATGCAGAGAAGTTTGAAAATCATTTAGGTGACTGTATGAGTAATGCTCCAATGCAAATGATTAAACCTTCCAATGATTATATTGAATTTTCTAATATTCAGAAAACACAGAAACATAGATTTGTATGTTACGCCGATTTTGAATCTGTTATCTATAAAATTGATTCTGTTAACAATTCTCCTAACAAATCTTGGAGTGAGAATGTTGGTAAACATAAGGCCTCTGCTTTCTGTGTGATTGTTGTTGATTCTTTCACTCAGAGCATTTACGAAATGAAGAGCTATGTTGGATATAATACTATTTTAAAATTCAATGAGTATATCTTAGATGTATGTGCAAGACTATTGAATAAAGGTGATGAGAAAATGAAAAATTTAACCAATGAAGAGTTAGAATGTTATAATAACTGTAATTCATGTCCTCAGTGTGAGAATGTGTTTGATGGGGATAAAGTTAGAGATCACGATCATTGGACTGGATTATACAGAGGGCCTCTATGTAATGCATGTAACCTATTGAAATGTAGAAATAATTTTATACCAGTATTTTTCCATAATCTTAAAGGCTATGACTCACATCATATAATTTGTGATGAGGAATCAAGCAAACTATTGAAGAAAAAAGGTGTTGAAATTAAAAGCATCTCAGCAAATATAGAAAAGTTTATTAGTTTCAGTTATATATACAAAAATCCTAAACGATGTGAAATAAGATTTTTAGATAGTTTTGGTTTTATGCCTTCCAGTCTGGACTATCTCAGCAGTAACCTACAAGATGAAGAATGTGTGATTACTAATAAGTATCACAAGAATGAAAAGATGTTTAATCTATTAAGACGCAAAGGTGTGTATCCATATGATTTTATGGATTCCTTCAAAAAGTATTCTAACGAAGAACTTCCTCCAATTGAAAACTTCTACAATGCTCTATCTGGTGAAAATATTAGTGAAGAGAGTTATAAATATGCTCAGAAAGTATGGAAGGAAACAAATTGTAAAACTTTAGAAGACTACACTAGAATTTATATGATTAATGATGTGCTACTATTAGCTGATGTTTTTGAAACTTTCAGAAATGTGTCTCTCAAAGAATATAAGTTAGATCCATGTTGGTACTATACATCTCCCGGATTAGCTTGGGATGCTATGTTAAAGAAAACTGGAGTTAAGCTACAGAC